ACACGCCAGCCTGGCCAGGGACATGCCAGCCTTGGGACAATCTGCAAGGGGCACAGGGGGAGGGGGAGCTTCTCGGGGGCTGCTGGGGGGGTGCAGGGGGTGACAACAGCAGGGTGTGCCCGGCAGTGCAGAGAGGCCTGTCAGTTTTGGGATACAGCGTCAGGGGTGCACATCAGACTGTGCAGAAGGGGACAGAGGGTACCAGAAAGGATTTGTGTGGGGGTGTGGGAGTGGCTGGAGGGTGTAGGGGATGCTTGTGGGAGGGGTGCAGAGGGCTGCAAGGCGGGAGATCCTCTTGGGGACGGGGAGCTGTAGGGGATTTGCAGTAGGAGGGTGCTGTAGGGGTGCGGGGGTTGCGGAGGGGGTAGAGAGGGAGCAGTAGGGGATTTCCTGTAGGGGATTTGCAGTGCGGGGATGCTGGAGGGTGTGGGGTTGCCTCAGGACACTCTGCAGGGGATGCCGGGGACTGTCGCAGTCCTCCCCCCGTCCCCGGCCACGCAGGTGGAATACCAACCAGCGGTGACGTCACGGCGCGGAGTTTCCCCACCCCATGACGTCACCGCGCGAGGACTCCCCCGCCCCATGGCGCAGCACGAAACCTCACTGGTCTGGGGGCGGGGAGGGGGAGGAGGAGGAGGAGGAGGGGGAGGAGGAAGAGCAGCAGGGGGAGAAGAAGAGAGAAAAGGAGGGGGAAACGGAGGACAAGGGGAAGGGGAGGGGGAGAAGGGGAGAGGGAGAAGAGGAGGAGGAAGAGCAGGAGGAGGAAGGCTTTCAGCGAGTCTAGCGCTGCCGGAAGCCGCTTACCCATCGGGGGGACCGGATCCAGCTGCGGCCCCACAGTGGCCTCGCTCTGGCTGGCGGCCCAGAGAGGGGAAGCCGAGCATGGAGGACACAGGCTGAGCCCCCCGAGGCACAGCCCGTCCTGACCCCCTCCCACTTCAATCCCACTCCCACTCACTTGGCTCCAGCGCTCAGGATGCGGTTCTTCCTCAGCACTGCCGCGAGCATCCTCATCCACCGGACAGGGACACCACCCCGGGGACAACCCTGGGCACCCCCGGGCCCACAGGGCACCCTGTCAGGTCCCAGGCACCCCCGCGCCCCCCGACCCGGGCCCTTTCTCCTTCTGCTTCTCGGAGCTCCAACGGCTGGAGCTGCCGGGAGGGCTCGAGTGAAAGAGGAAACAGGGAGGGAGGGGAACGGGTGACATCAGCCACGCGCACCCTGTCACCCGGCAGGAGGGGACAGCGAGGGACAGGCAGCAGAGTCCTCTGCTAGGCCTGGCCTCAGCCGGGGAACTCCCTGGGTGCCAGGAGCCACAGCCACGCTCCAGTGAGTGACATGGCAATGGCCTCACGCATGTCCCTGCCAGAGCGGGAGGCAGTACTGTCCCTGTCCCTGCAGAGCATCCCACTGTCCCTACGGCCATCCATTCTGGTGTCCATGACACCATCCATCCCGATGTCCCCGATGCCATCCCAGTGTCCCCAGAGCCATCCAGCCCAGCGTCCCCGCTGTCCCTCAGTGTGTCCCACCTGAAGCAGTCGGCATGCCAGTCCGCCTTCAGTGCCTGCAGGTACTGCCCATCGTAGATGCCCTGCCCACAGCTCGCACACACCGGCAGGTCGGTCCCTGCGGGCAGCAGAACACGAGGTGACAGGGCTGTCACCACACCAGCCGGTCCCGGCCACCCACAGCGGCACCCGGGATTAAATCCCTCTGCCCGGGGTGGTGAATTCCATTCCACATCCATTGATCCCACAACGGGTGAAGGTCGTGGCACCCATGGCCCCAGGGCTGGCAACAGGGCAGGGGTGGGATGGGGGCACCTAGTGAGTGCAGGATGGGGGCAGAGGGTGGGTGCAGGATAGGGGCAGAGGGTGTAGGGAGGGTGAAAAGAGGCAGGATGGGTGCGCCAAGGGATCCGGGGAGGACGGCGGGGTGTGGGATGGGTGCTGGGTGCATGGGGGGGACAGCAGGATAAGTGCTGGGGAGTCCTGTGTGGCACAGGGGGTGCAAGGTGAGGGATGAATGGGGGACACACAGAAAGGTGCAGAGTGTGGAGGCATGCACACTGCAATGGAGGGACACAGAGGGATGCTGGATGGGTGCTGGAGGATGCAGGAGGACACACAGGGATGCAGGATGGTTTTGGGTGATGAATGGGGGACACAGAGAGCGATGCTGTATGGGTGCTGGAGGATGCAGGAGGATACAGAGGGGTGCAGAGGGTGCTGGGGAATGCACAGTGAATGGGGGGACACAGAGGGGTGCAGGGAGGGGGATGAATGGGGGACACACAAGGTGTGCAGGGTGGCTGCAGAGGTTCTAGGAGTGCAAGTTCTTGGGGTGTGGTGGGAGGAATGAGGGGCCCAGCGAGTGCAGAGGGGAAGGAAGACACAGCAGGGATCTGGGGGTGCAGGAGAGACGCAGGGGGATTGGGGGGTGCAGGAGGGATGCAGACTGGATGGGATGGGGGGTGCAGGAGGAGATAGAGAAGTGTTGGGGTGCAGGGGGGATGTGGAGGTGCAGGAAGGGATGCAGGCTGGGTGCACAGGGAGAGTTCTTGACAGGGAGGATGAGGGAGATTAGGAGATGCAGGGGCGAATGCAGCCTGGGTGGAAATACAAGGCAGGATGGGGGGACGGAGGCTGAACTGGGGGTACAGGGAAGATCTGGGGATGTGAGGAGGATGCAGGTTGGATGGGGGTGCAAAGGGATGCATGCCAGGGGAGCAATTTAGGGTGGGATGCAGGGGGTGACATGGGCTGGGTAAGGGGTGCAAGGGGACGTTTAAGGGTGCAGTGGAGGATGCAGAGGGTGATGTGGGCTGGATGAGTGAGAGGTGCAGGAGGTGATTTGCAGGTGCAAGAGGAATGCAGGGTGGCTGGGGAGTGCAGGGGACGTGTGGGGGGCACGGGGGATGTAAGGTGAGGGAAGGGCGTTTCAGAGGGGGATGCAGGGGTGCAGGGTGATGCAGGGGAAGGTTCAGGCTGGACGGGGAGGCATGGGATGTCGGGGTGCAGGGGGGGCGCAGACCAGCGAGGGATGCAGTGGGGGATGCGGGCTGGGTGAGGGGGTGCAGGGGGGAGATGAAGAATGAACTGCGGGCACACGGGGACATTTGGGAGTGCAGGGGGCATGCCGGGGATGCAAGAGTGCAGGATGGGGATGCCGAGGAGGATGCAAGAGCCCGCGGACAGTGGGGACGATGAGGCTGGGGGCTGCAGGCCGGCGGGAGGGTCCGCACGAGCCGGGCTGGGGGGTCCCGCGGCCCGAGCGGCGGCGGAAGCGCTGAGTCAGGCGGGGGGGCTCGGGTGGTAACGCACCTTCGTCCTCTCCCATAGGCTCGTCCCTCCAGGTGCAGCACAGCAGCATCAACCTCATGCAGGCGCGCTGGCCGGCGCCGCGCCGGGCCGGGCCTGAGGCGGAGGCGGTGGCGGAACCGCGCGGGCGAAGCCCCGGTCGGGCCCCCCCGGCCCTGCCGCTGCCGCTGCCGCTGCGGCTCCCGGGCGGGACCGCGGCGCCTGCACCGCGCCTGCGCGGCCGGGGGGGCGGGGCCAAGGGCCCGGGGCCCGGGTGGGTGTGGTCTATGGGCGTGGTCATTTTTGTGGGCGTGGTTTGTAGGGCGTGGTCGCGGCCGGGGTGGGGGCGAGGCTCGGGGTGCGCGGTTGGGCCCGGGGGGATGTGGAGGTCACGGGGCGATGGGGCTGTGCTCACCCTCCCCTGACCATTACGGGTATCCCCACACCGCTTGGTGTCCCCAGCTACGCCAGGCCAGTCTCATGGGCAGGACACGGGTGTCGCCACACCACTACTGGCCATCGCGGGTGTCCCCACGTGTCCCGGCCCGTCACTGTGGTCAGGGCACAGGTGTCTCCATTTTCCATGGGATGTCACCGTGGGGCGTCACATGGATGTCCCTCTCATTCCCCACGTTGTCACCACGGGATAGAGCACGGGCATCTCTCTGCATCCTCAGGTTACCACCATGGCAAGGGGCATGGACCTCATCCTGGGTCCCAGACTTGTAGCTGTGGGAGAGGGAATGGATGTCCCCTTAATTCCCTGCACTCTTACCATGGGACAGCACATGGATATCACCTCCTAGGCTGTCACCAAGGGCAGGCACAGCCCTATTGGTCCTCAAGCTGTCACCAAGGCACAAGGCATGGATATTTTCCTGCATCCCCAGTCCCCCTCTGTGTGCCAGAGCAGAGACCTTTTCCTGGGTCCCGAGGCTGTCACACTAAGACAGGGCGGAGATGTCCTCGACACCTCAGGCCAGGGCACAGACCTTCCCCTGGGACCCTGGGTTGTCACTTTGGGAAAAGGTATGGGCAACCCCTAGGTCCCCAGGCTGTCCCCCACCCCTCCCGTGTGTTCCAGGGCTATGACCATGCAGCGGCACAAGCGACATTCCTGAAGCAAGGACCCAGCACGTTTCCAGGCTTGTGCACTGCCATGGGCTGGCGTGAATCCCTGCATCATTGCCACCACCACAGGGAAGGGTCAGGGACATGAGACACAAGCTGGAGCCAGAATCCTTTAAAAACTTGTCCTTTATTAGTCTGTCAGAAGCGAGTCCCTCTGTATAGGGCGTCCCACCCAGTTATAGCAAAGTGAGCAACGTGAAGGGACCGACCCCTCCTGCCCGCGGCCCCCCCCAAACCGGGGGGACCGCGGCCCGGAGTGGGGGCCAGGCTGACGGGAGCATCCCTCCCCGCACAGCCCCCGTCGCCGGCATCCCCTTCCCTCCCTCCGTCCCTCCCTCCCTCCCTCCCTCCCTTCCTCCAATGTGGGGTGCCCCTCATCCGTTGTCCCTCCCGGGGGTCAGCTCTGGGGCTGGGGAGGGGGGGCGACAGCCCAGGCCCCCCCAAATCCCGCAGAGAGCGATAGCACCAAGGGGGACGGCTGCTCCCCGCAGTTTATTCCGCGCTCCCTGCCGGGACCGAGGGGCGGGGGGGGGGCGGACGCTGCCGGGGAACGCGGGGTCCCTCCGGGAGCTTGAGGAGGGGGTGTCTCAGCTTTGCTTCGGATTTACATTCTGGACCATGCAGTAGCACCAAAGTTCATGAGGTGATGGGTGACGGAGCGTTACTTCCGCTTCCTCCCGCAGTATTTCCCTGCCGCGCAGCCCGCGCCGCCTGCGGGGGATGCGGGGGATGCGGGATGAGCCCTCCCTGCGCCCGCACCCCGCCAGGGATGCCGGAGGGGCGGGGGGCAGGGCCGGGCCCTGGGAGCGGGGACACCGTGCTCACCTCTAAAGCCCAGGGCACCCAGGGCTCCTCCATAGGGCTTGGGGGGCTTCCCTGCAGCGGGAAGGCAGAGCGGCGTGAGCGGGACCCCCGCGGGGATCCGCATCCCCCACCCCACAACGTCCCGCAGGGGGGCTGGATACTCACCACCAAATCCCAGGCCGCCGACTCCACCTGAAAGGAGAGCGAAGCCCTCAGCACGCACGGAGCACCCCCATTTCTCTGCCCCGCACCCCCCAGGCCAGCCCCCCGGCTGAGCCCAGCCCCCAGGGTCCCTCCCCGGCCCGTGGCCGTGTCCCTGTGAGCCGGCCAGGCACCGACACACGCCCCGGCTGTGCGCTGAGCTGCCGAGCTGGGGCTGGTACCTGGAAATATCGGTGATACGCCGAAGCCGGGACCTCCAACCCCTGGGGAAAAAGCAACAGCCAGTGACAGCCGGTGACAGCAGTGCCACCCTAGCGTGGACTGTGGACAGCCTGGCTTATTCCAGGGATAGGAGCTGATGCAAAAGCCACCGTCCCCACCCTCTGGCTTCCCAGTGCTCTCCCAGGCCGCGTGCCCAGCAGGGAATGGCAGCAGCGTGGGGGCAGCAAGCGGGGACGAGTGTGGCAGGGTAGGGGACACTCTCCCGTGCCAGCCCCAAACTGCAGCACTCACCTGGCTGCAGCCCCCCAGCACCAAAACCTGCAGGTGGGTCAGCCCCAGTGAGGGTGGGGAGCGTGAGCACAGCCATGGAATGTGGATGGGGACAGGGACTGGAGGCACTCCTCCAGCCCCTCTGGCTGTCCCTTACCTGGCTTGGGAGGTTTCCCAGCAGCTCCTGGATACAAGAGTCCTATGTCAGAGGGGGCACCAGTGCAGCCCCTGCCTGGACTCACTGCCCCAGGGCCACAGCCAGACCATTCAGGAGGGGCCCAGTGGGTCCCAGGAGGGACCTGCATCTCCACATGGCATGGGCAAGGCTGGTGCTATGCCCTCAGTCCCTGCTCAATAATGGCAATCCCTTCGGATCACCCCCTGGGAACAGGGCAGGTGGCAAACAGGACGGGGCACAAGGCACGGTGACAGTGCGGGGTGGGATTGTACTGTGAGACCGGGAGGGGACAGAAGTGACCCAGAGACTCCCTTTCCTTTTCATTGCTCTGCCAACACGTCACTGCTGCTGCTGCTCCCTGCAGCCCAGCTCCGGGGAGCCCCACACCGGGACCAGCATCACTCACCGAGGCCACCAACTCCGAGCCCACCGACACCGAGGCCACCTACAAGGGGTAGCCTGTGTGAGCACCAGGAGGGACAGACAGTGGGGCAGTGTCTGACCCACTCCTCACCCAGTCCCAAGTGTGCCCATCCTTCCTCGGGCAGCCCCGCTACAGAGGGAGTGTCCCTCCAGCTCCAGCCCTCTGGGGAAGCATCCCTCTGCCTGCACATCCCCACTGCCCAGGCTCAGCTCCTGACAGCACTTACCTGGGAGGCCACCAATCCCTGGGACTCCAACGCCAGGAACACCTGCCAGAGAGACACCATTAACCCCTGTCCCCCCCTCAGCCTGGCACCCCCAGCTCAGAGCACCCCTGGCCATTGCCCAACCTGCTGGGGTGGCTCTGGCACCCATGCTGGGAGTCCCCAGCACCCATCTCACAGCACCCAGAGGGGCTTCAGCCCCTGCATGACACACGAAGGAGAAAACTCTTCCCAGCGAGTCTAGGGCATGGGGTACAGGTGGCACTTTGCACCTATGGGTGACACCACGCCTGGGCCATCGGGGTACAATGGGCACACAGGGGACAGGAAGAGAGGTCAGCACCCTGATGGCTCAGGGACAGTCTGACGTGGCCCTGGGGCAGAGGGGCAGGGTTACGTACCAAATTTGGGAGGTTTAGCACCAGGCTGCACCCCTACTTGAGGGATGCCTGCAAAATGAGTGAGGACACCATGGTTAGGACAGGACAGTCACCCCCACATCACACTCATGTGCCACCACCTGCATCCCTCCCTGCCACCCCTTCATGTGGCTCGGTGGCTTTTAGCATTCCCAGCCACCACTGTCCCCAGGCAGGGTGGAACAAAGCACGTACCTGCCCCGGGAAGGATGCCAGTTCCAGGTACTCCCACCCCTGGCACCAAGCCAGGCACACCACCAACACCAGGTGTCACTCCGGGCACTCCACCTACACCGGGCACCGCACCTGGCACCCCTCCAACCCCAGCACCTGCAGAGACAGGGGTGAAGCAGCAGGTGTGATCCCCGTGCTCATGCGGGATGATGTGCCAGGCCTGGGTGCCCATGCCAGCATCCCCTGCACCAGTCAGTGCCACACCAGGGCTGGCAGGGAGACTGAGGGGCTCCCCAGGCTGACTCACCAAATTTGGCTGCCTTAGCTGCTGCCTTTGCTGCTGCTGCTGGACCTCCAACACCTGGGCAGAGACAGAAAGGGTGGTGTCAGTGACCCTGGGGAGGCCTCACAGCAAACCTGGGCAGAACCCATCCCTCAGGCCTTGTCTGCATCCCCCCAGGGGACTCTGCTGAGGTTCTCCTCAAGCCTGTCCTGCCCCCAGAACTGCCCCCACCCTCGCCTTCCTCCTCCTCACCTGGGACACCTCCAACACCAGGAACCAGGCCACCTACTCCAGGAACCAGGCCACCCACACCAGGGGCCAGGCCACCCACGCCGGGAGCCAGGCCACCCACACCGGGAGCCAGGCCACCTGCTCCTGCAAGGAGAAAGAGAAGAACTGGAGCTTCAGGAAACATGGTAGAAGGAGTTGGATGAGAAGGCATGGCAGGGTGGAGGTGGGATGGATGGGTGGATGGATGGATGGATGGATGGATGGATGGATGGATGGATGATGAGATGGATATGCGGCTGGATGAGGAGTGGTTGAAATGATGGTAGGATGGATGAATGGTTGGATGGATGGTGAGATGAATGAATGAATGAATGAATGAATGAATGAATGAATGAATGAATGAATGAATGCTGAGAGGGGCACATGGATGGTGGGATAGCAAGATGGAGAGATGGATGGAGGGGTGGTGAGATGGATGTGTGTGAATGGGGAGTGGTCGAATGGATGGCAGGATGGATGAATGGAGGGATGATGGTTGAAGGGATGGATGGATGTGGAGTGACTGAATAGAGGAATGGAGGAGGTACAGATGGATGGACAGAGAAGGGGGCAGATGGACACTGAGGTGGTGATGGTGTGGCTGGGTGGGCAGAATGGGGTGTGGATGGACCAAGGTATGAGAAGGTGTTTGGACAGTGAACTCGGATGTTCCATGGGGCTCACCTCTCTGGAGAGCAGCCCTGACACACCCAGCACCTCATCCCACATTCAGCCCTTCAGGGAGCTCATCCTTCACCCCAACCCCCAGGGGGCCCAGGCACTGCTGGGCCTCAGCCCCAACACGGGAGCAGCCTGGAGTGGGGATGAGCAGGAGTCAAGACGTGCAGGATAACCCCAGAGAGATCTCAGCTTACCGTACTTGGCTGCTTTGGCGGCTGCTTTTGCAGCGGCTGCCGGACCTCCTGAGGGACAGGGAGTGAGAGGGTCAGGAGCGCATTCAGTGAGCACTGCTGGGGAGATCTGAGCATTCCCTGGGCACCATCTCACCTGGAACACCGACCCCGGGCACCAGACCAGGCACACCAACACCAGGCACACCGACACCAGGCACACCCACTCCGGGAATGCCAACGCCAGGCACGCCAACACCGGGCACACCAACACCGGGCACACGTCCTGCTCCTGCAGAGAGGTTCAGGGATGTGTCCAAGGGGGCAGACTCCACAGCAGGAATCCCACTGACCTGCACAGCACCGGGGTGTCCCCACCTCTCCTGTGTGCCAACACACCTCCTCCCTCCCTGGGACAGCCGGTGGTGACGGTGGTGACAGTGGGGACTCACCGATTGCTGCTGCTTTTGCTGCAGCCTTGGCTGCGGCTGCTGCTGCCGGGCCACCCACTGCAGGGACACAAGGGATACAGTCAAGGCATTGCCAAGATGAGCAATGAGCATCCCCCCAGCAGCTGGTGACAGCCCATCTGCTCACCTCCAACACCAGGCACAGCTCCAGGAACCCCAGGCACGCCAGGAACACCTGGGACACCAGGGACACCGGGAACTCCAGGAACGCCAGGAACCCCAGGAACGCCAGCGATGCCAGGAACGCCGGCTCCTGCAGGGAGTGAGATGAGAGAAGTCAGATCCCGCTGCAGAAACATCTGAAAGCTTGGGCCTTTTCTGGCTCTGTCTCATCACTGTGGCCTGGAGAGAGGAGCAACCACAGCCACTTGCAGGAGAGACCCAAGCAGGGCAGGAGAGGGATGAGTCCCATGTCTTGCTAGACCCATGCATTCCAGGATCCCACGAGATTTTGCAGAGTCGGGAACCCGGGCCCCGTAGAGCACGTACCGTACTTAGCTGCCTTTGCTGCTGCTGCTGCCGACGGCACTCCTGGGGACAAGGGAGACAGGGACCCTCAGCCACCACGGCCCCAC